AACTTTTTTCTTTAAAAGTTCGACTGGGAAAGTCATGCTAGTTCAAATGAAAAAAATGCTCATTTTGCAGGTTTAGTTTGAAGCTGCAGAATGTAAATTATTTCCAGAATATATGTATCATCATATAAGGTAATTTTGAGAGAGAGGGTATAATTAAGTGCAAGTATGATATGGTTATCAGCAAAACGATGATACCCCACAAACTTTGTGGTCCACATCATGTGCCATCGCGAAACTCCCTGACAAAGAGGATGCGCCGCATTTGCGTATATGCCAGTTTAAGCTGACCGTAGGTAATCCATTTACGCCGTAGATAAACTCAAGTAACTTCATATTTGCCTTTTCAAAAATTTTGTGCATCTAAAACAGCATGGTAATAAAAGGTAATTTTGAATATATCTACCATCAACTAATTGATTGATATTGGAGTTGGCACATATGCAAGTTACTGTGGTTCAGATATGGGTTCGGTTTGAAATATTCTTCGATTTGTTGTTTACCTTAAACACCGCGAAAATTCAACTAAAATACACAAAGTTATCTATCCGTCTGAAACAGGTACTGACTGGTACGCGGAAGCGCGATAGGTTATCGGCAAACTTTGCAAGGGTTTAGATTTAGAAAAGCAGAAGGAATCATAAGAAATTTTAGAATAACAGAACTGCCAAGGCAATGCCAGCTAACAAAATTAATCTGACCACCATATTTCAGAAGCATACCGCAACAGGCGAATCTCAAAACAAGCCGAGGAACTTACCGGCCAGGATTTGGTAGACTACGTAAATCGTAAGCAAACTTTGTGGAAGGTAACTAATTAGATTTGAAGTTATTTCCGTTTCAGTCTGCAGATTACTAGTTATAGGCAAAGAAACACCATCGTTTTGACAGCTATCCAGATCGCACCAAATGGGGTTTGATGGGTGTGAACCATGTTCGATTGTCCGTTGAGGTTGTCTAAAATTTGAAGTGCACTGAATTCCCGCATTAGAAACAATCTCATTCAGGCGAAGAAACATCTGTCCCACACTAAAGATTTGGATATAGATATACCAGAAAGCTTTGATTCTCGAGAAGCATGGCCACAGTGTCAATCTATAAAGGTTATTCGTGACCAGTCAAGTTGCGGTAAGTGTTATGATGATACACTGATTTAGATCGGGCTATTGTATCGTACTGCAGTAATCATTTCAATATTAGTATGAGCATTAATATTCAGTACTAGTACACGGTCTTGGTGAGTGCATTAGCAAGTCAGTGCTAGAGATAGGTATCGTATTACTGAAAATTAGTAGTAGCGATTTCATTAGTGTTAGTACTGATGTTAGTATTGGTACTAATATTAGTATTAGTATTAGTATTAGTATTAGTAATAGTATCAGTATTAGTACCAGTATTAGTATTAGTATTAGTATTAGTATTAGTATTAGTATTAGTATTAGTATTAGTATTAGTATTAGTATTAATATTAGTATTAGTACTAGTATTAGTACTAGCATTAGTGTTAGCATTAGTACTATTATTAATATTTGTTTGATA